CCAGACCTTTGATAAGAGTTTACAAATTAGCCATTATTAAAAATCAGAATCTATACTAATACAGTAATAATAGCACAATTTTTTTTGCTATGGTATACTTTTAAATGAAAGGGAGATACGTAGAAATTAGCTTCCATATTGTATATAGGCAGAATAAAAAATTATTTATATCTGAGTTTAATAGTACTGTCTTTATGTACATAATTATGGTTACAACAAAATGTTTTCATTTCAACATGCAATGTCAATATTAAAATAGGAATTTTTGAATTTATCTTGTTTTTAATGGTGGTTCTTTTTTAAAGAAGCTTGATTGTACCACTGTTAATTAACCATGTGATTTATTCTTTCAGCATCTACTATGTACAAGGTATCTTTAAGCACTGTGGTTAAAAGCTTCCTTGATTGTTTATGTGGGTGGTAAAAATTATTCTTTAACTGCTCAGTTTTTTTTAGTCTTTAAATTGTCAAGCATAAACAGTGCTGTTTCTACCAGATGTCAGAATTATGAACATTTTGTATTCTAGAATACAGAATCACCTATGGGCTAAGGCCAAGCCTAGAAAGATTGAATTTATAAGTACTTTGGAAAAACAGGTTGGGAGAAAGGCACAACTGTCTTCTTTGCTTTCAGGCTGTGCCTTTGTAATGTAAATGTAGTTTCTTTTCCCAAAATGTCCTTTTCTTCTCTCCTTCCCTGGGGACTCTTTCAACACAGGTGTTTTATTATACTGCAGTTCTTGTTGGTGCCACAGCTTTAGGGGTAGTAAACTGATACTGTCCCTTGCAGGCCAGATATTAGACTATCTCAGTATAGTCATAGATGATTAAGTCTGTGAGACTCACATGAGGCTGACCTAAAACCCAGTGATCAGAACGTTGGAGCTACCTAACCCCCTTTTAAATAACATGGAAGAATTATTCATCAGAAGACTGCTTAGTGAATATAGAATCAGAAGCAGAAATACAATGATCTGGACCATGGGTATAGGATATTTCACCTAAGTTCCAGAATAACCCAATTTAATATTCCTACTTCACAACAAAAATACATACCTGTGAAGTAACCTTGTAGCTTATGCCAGTTAGATCTAGGATCTTTCCAGTATAAACAAATACTTTATTGATTTTTGCCTTTCTGACCATAGTTTGTATCCTGGTTGCCCTCTCTCTAGTTATTCACGTATCTCCCCTTCTCAATAGTTAGGTTCCCTGGTTGCCTCTTTATATTCCTTTGAATTTTTCTCAGTTTGAGCAAAATGCTTTGTAAATTATATGCAATTAGTAAATATTTGTTAAAAGAATAATTACCATTTTAGAGGGGCATAGATCTCTTTTCTCTGCGTATCAGTAGATACAGTGTGATGATTATGAAAATCCAAATATCTTCATTACACTTATGTGTCTATTTAAATTTGTGGCATTTATCTAGCAAGTTAACCCCTGAATTTCTGAAATATGAACATAACATGTAAACTTTGCTTCTCATATATTATCTGGAATAACTTTTTAAAAGGTAATAAGCCTTTGACTATATTTTATTGGAAATGTAATGTAATTTCTTATGTTTAAAGTTTAAATGTTTAAAGATAATTCTGAAAAATTCTTAGACTATCCCAGTATTGTTTAGCTGGAAAAGACTTAGGTTCAATTTTGTTTGCTATTTTCCTCAAGCTTAACATTTATTTTGTAGGCCTCTTACCAAGTTCGTTGATTCTTCCGACAGTTCACTGGTGAAGTTCTTTATGATGACTGGGCCAAAATAATCTGCATTTATTGCAACTTCCTAGGGTTTTAAAAAAGAATTGTACTGAAATTTGGATATCCATAAGGAAAAAAACTGAAAATTTTATTTTGAATTGTTAAATAATTCTACAACTCCCTTCTCTCCCCAACCCAGCATTCACATCAATCCCAGTTACTAAATATTTGCAGTGCCCCAGGAGACAATTGTGGTTTATCCAAAAGCATCAGGAGACCTGCTCTGCTACTGAAAGGATAGCTTCATGATTTTAGCAAGTCACCTAACCAAATCAGTTTCTTCATCTGTTAAAGGAGGATATTATGCTAAATGATCTGATGGTCCATTCTGTTTCACATCTCAGTCTCCATTCTTCAAGCTAGGTAACAGATTATGCCAAGCAAGGAAGGATGGTTTTCATATTTAAAGACTTCTGGAGAACATTAACATGTAAAATTTACTAATACATATATACCCTGATCCTGTGATGCAATGTGTATCAAATTTGAGAAATTTACAGAGCTGCCACTTTTTTTTTCAGATCCTTTTTTAAAGGAAAATAATTATTACAGCCTCTCAAGAGTGTGTCCTGTAGCACCATTAGGGTAACACGTACTTAAATATATAAGAAATGCCCAACTTACAGACTTCCAGAGTCTTTGCATAAAAGTAGCTTCCCAAGCTCCAGCCATCACCCTACCCAAAAGCCACCAAAAACAATAGCAACAGCAAATCCTAGATCAATACCAAAATGACAGATATTCTTTTCCTTCTCCTTGTACCTCTTGGCCCTTTTGTCTTAGGACTTCAAAACTCAGGTCCGAATTCTGTGTCAGTGGCTTTTAAACTTATTTGATATAATATACAGCCTGCAAAGGGACCTAATTATGCAAATGTATATGAACTTAAATGTGTATAGAACACATAGTTGAAACATATTTAATTAAAAGGAATGTATGCCAATATTTTTTCTTCTATTTCATTTTTTTAGTGCTGCTTTTAACACACCGAATTGATTTTACAACTAAACCTAGCCCCACTTACGGCACTCTTACTAAAGACAAATACAAACCTCCAGGCAGCATAAAATTAAACTTTTAGAAAAGTATTTGTAAAGTGGAGAATGTCTATTTATGTACCTATACATTTCTTTTTTTTTTTTAATTTTATTATGTTATGTTAGTCACCATACATTACATCATTAGTTTTTGATGTAGTGTTCCATGATTCCTTGTTTGCATATAACACCCAGTGCTCCATTCAATATGTGCTATACATTTCTTTTGTAATCATAGTAAACCTTCATCAATTCTGACTGATTTGGTAGGAACAATTGGATATATGTAGTACTTTTATTTCGGGGGGGAAGGGGCAGCGGGAGAAGGGGAGAGACAATCTTAAGCAGGCTCCATGCCCAGCACAGAGTTCAGTGTGGAGCTTCAATCTCACAACCCCAAGATCACGACCTGAGCCAAAATCAAGAGTCAGACGCTTAACTGACTGAGCCACCCACATGCCCATGACATATGTAGTACTTTTAAAGGAATGAGGCTTATTATCAGATTTAATATCTCTAGCCCCAAATTAGTTTAACAAAGTCTTTCTCGAGGCTCTTAAGAGTTCTACTAAATAAAAAAATATTTTACCTGCCATCTTCTTTACCACTTTAATATTCATAAACTGTGAAGAAAAGATTTCTAAGTGAAGATAAACTTCAATCCAGACTTGCTGGATTATCATTAATTCAACATTTATGTAAATATTAATTGAAGCATATCAACTCAGATTGAATTTTTTTATTTGATTTCTAATATGGATAAGCATAACTACCTTATCTAAAAGGAATGTAGATAGTTCTATTACTAGGATAGCTACAATTTAAAATTGTTAACATGTAGCAAGCCCTGAGCTGGAAGCTTTTATGTACATTATCTCATTTAATCTTTACCATATGGGGTAGATACTTACCCATTTTAGAGTTAAAGAAACTGGGGATTAGGAAGGATAAGTAACTTGTCCAGTAATTATCTGTACTAGCATTTCAACCCAGGTCCATCTGTTACACAGTGTGCTTTGAAACTTTATGCTAACTAATGACAGAGTAGCCATAGTACCCAAGTGTCAGAGCTGTTAGACTTGGGGAGAAAAATAAAAGAAATCTTAATTTAAGGTATGGTAAAATATTTTGAGACATCTATGGTTGGACTAAGACTTAGGCAGAGAAGAGAATTTTAACTCGTTTCTCCCTGTGAGTGGCTTCTAAAATCTTTGGTTTGATTCTTTCCCTTTTTTACAAACTAATGTGATTACATAGTTATTTACTATATTTCCTTGTTTATAAGACACATGACTCATTTAATAACTTTTTAGAAGCGTAAATATTGCATTAAAGGTATGTAAAGCTTTTATTAGCTGATAGTCTAACATGTATTTATCCATATAATCAATACCTAAGTTTTCTTCAATATCACAAAGTTTGATTCTAAGCTTTCCTCTCATTCACAGACCAAAGAATGTCCTGAATTATGTCTGGCCATCGCAATTATCTGTAGCATCCCAGCAACACACTAGTTTTTGTAACCCGGGCTTGTGTTTTTGGTTTTTGTTTTTTTTAATTTAGTTTGTTTTTTACTTAACACCATTGTGATAGACTGTACAAACTGTGAAAACTATGCATCTTAAAATAAAGGAAATATAGTACTATATATAAAGTTAATTTGGAGGACCTTGGCCTCATTTGTCTGATCTTTTCATGTGCTGAACCTGAGAGAAACCTAAAATATTATCTGTGATAATGAGAAATAAACATTTCTGTGTTTTAGAAAAATAACAAATATCAATATTTTGGTTAAACCAGATTAAGGATTTAAAGTCCACAGGTCTGTTTTGTGCAGAGAGAGAATAATTTACAAGTGTTTTTCATAAACTTTTATTAATGTATTGCAGGTAGTTATAAAAGATGTGGCCCGAGACAGTCTAGTCTGAGTACTTATGAGATGAAAAAAGAATTGTCCTTTATTTTATGGAAGTGCATAATGAAAGTGCCCTGATTTGGGATTAATAATGTTTGTTCTTCAGAAGACTTTAAGGAAGTTTATGAGTTTTAGCGTTCTTAGAAAGGAAGCTCTTTGGGAGCTTAGTTCTCCCTTTCGATTACCTGCAGGTTTCCCTATCTCTTGACTGTGAACACTTTATGGCAAGAGTGAGTTTCTAATAATATTGCCATCATCTTTCTTCCCTCCTTCCCCCATTCCTGTAGGTGTACCAACATTCGACCAGGAGAGACTGGAATGGATGTAACAAGCCGCTGCACCCTTGGAGACCCCAATAAACTGCCAGAAGGGGTTCCCCAACCTGCCCGCATGCCCTATATCTCAGACAAGCACCCTCGACAAACCTTGGAAGTGATTAACCTTCTGAGAAAGCACCGGGAGCTCTGCGATGTGGTGCTAGTTGTGGGCGCTAAGAAGATATATGCCCATCGAGTCATTTTGTCAGCCTGTAGTCCCTACTTCCGAGCTATGTTTACAGGAGAATTGGCAGAGAGCCGTCAGACAGAAGTTGTGATTCGAGACATAGATGAGCGGGCTATGGAGCTACTGATTGACTTTGCATATACCTCCCAAATAACCGTGGAAGAGGGCAATGTTCAGACCCTTCTGCCAGCTGCTTGCCTCCTTCAGCTGGCAGAGATACAGGAAGCTTGCTGTGAATTCTTAAAGAGACAGTTAGACCCCTCTAATTGCCTGGGCATTCGGGCTTTTGCTGACACACACTCATGTCGTGAGTTGCTAAGGATAGCAGACAAGTTTACTCAACATAACTTTCAAGAGGTGAGTTGTACTGGTGGTTTGGATGCGTTCATAATGTATTGGTCAGGAGAGCACTATGAGTTCATGTTCTGCTAACTAACATGTACCTGTTTGGGTATTTACTGCTGATTCTAACTCATAATACCAAAGATATAAATTGTTATAAATTCTAAGCCTGGTTTTTATTTTAGAGACCAATTTTATGTTCTGTCAACCAAAGGTAAAGTTTAGGGATTTGATTCTCCCTAGCCATACTAATAAACTAGTTTATAAGTTAGAATACAGTTTATTAATTCATTAGGAGATCAGTGTCTGATAGGATACCTCATATCAGTCATTTGCATGAAACATTACCTTCCTGATTATATGGATTGTTCAGCAGAATAAATAATAAATCAGCAGTTACTTGGAGAACTAACAATCGGGAAAAAATGAAGTTAGATGTATATGAAAAGAATGTTTCATTAAATCTGTTTTCATTTATTCATTTATTTAATAAATATGTGAAAAGCTACTGTTTCGGCCACTGTACTTGGGAAAAAAAGGCTACATATAGTAGTGAACAAGATGCCTAGAGTGTCTGTTCTTATGGAGGTTATAATCTAGCAGGGAGGATATCCATTGAATGCATAATTACACAAATAATTAATTACAGTTTATAGGTGCTACAAAGAAGCCTGGATGATTTAGCGTATTACAGAGAGATTTAACTTTGGTTCTGAAACAGCTCATTGCAAAATTCTGAGACATAGGGCGCCTGGGTGGCTCAGTTGGTTAAGTGACTGCCTTCAGCTCAGGTCATGATCCCAGGGTTCTGGGATCGAGTCCCGCATCGGGCTCCCTGCTCTGCGGGAGGCCTGCTTATCCCTCTCCCACTCCCCCTGCTTGTGTTCCCTCTCTCGCTGTGTCTCTCTCTGTCAAATAAATAAAATCTTTAAAAAAAAAAAAAAAATTCTGAGACATAGGTTGAGAAACTGAAAGAAACCCAGTGAGACCCAGAGAGCAAAAGGGAGGATGTTACATAATGATTTTACAGAAAGAACAGAGCCCCATCACACTGGAGTTAATAGACCATGTTAAGAATTTGAAATTTAATCTTAGAGCAATAGAAAACCATTAAAGGGCTTTAAGCAAAGACATGGTCCCTTTTGCACTTTACTATCACTCTTCTCCCCAGCAGGATAACTTCCAATGGATCAAAGATTTAAAAATACAAAATGAAACCATGAAAATATTAGAAGATGACATGGAGCAATTTCTTTTTAATCTTGAATTGAGAAAGGCCTTTCTAATTGACTAACACAGAAGGCATAGAAGAAAATACTGATAGACTTGACTACATAAAAATAAAAAATTTTTTCATGGTAAAACAAAAAAACAGTAACAAGATAGAAGTCAAAGACAAAGTGAGGGAGTGGGTGACACCTGGATGGCTCAGTTAATAGAGCATGCAGCTCTTGATCTCAGGGTTGTGAATTCTAGCCCCGCGTTGGGTGTACAGATTACTTAAAAATAAAATCTTAAAAAAAAAAAGATAAAATGGAGCAAAATATTTGCAACTATCACAGACAATAATCTCTTTAATACAGCAAGAGATTTTATTGGTCAACAACCTAGACTAATGATGTAACCAAAAAATGGGCAGTAAACAAATTCAGATTGCCCTTAAACATATGAAAATCTGCTGCAGGTTGTTCAAAATGACTGAAACATAAATTAAAACTATACCAAAGTACTATTTTTCATTTCTCAGATTACAAAATTATAATCTATCAGATTCCAAATATCTAGAAGTTTGATTCCACACCCTGTTGACAAGGCCACGGAGACAAGGTAATGGAGCTAATTGCTAGTGTGAATATAAATTGATACAACCTCCTTGAAAGGAAATGTGTACACTTTTTTTCACACTCTTTGACTCAGCAGTCCCATTTCTGGGAATTTGTGCTACAAATTTACTGGAGAAAGGAGCAGTTTGAGGAGATGAGATCATGGGTTTTGTTTTAGATATATTAATTTGAAACACCTATAAGATGTCTAAATAGAGATACTGAGCCAGGCCACTGTTATGAGTCTTTTATCTTAGAGGTTAGACTGAGATTAAAATTTAGGAGTCATCAACTCATAGTAATAAACTATGATGGCTTAATCCTTTTAAGGCAGGATTTAACCCAGAAACCTTTATAAAAGGTTGATAAATTTGATTGCATAAAAATTTTAAACTTTTTTATAACAAAAAAGCACCAAAAACAAGGTCAAAAAATCAATGCCAATGAGCTCACCAAGAAGGGAGAGAGAAGAGAAAGCCTTAAAATTTTTCCAGCATTGAAGGATGGTTAGTGAAAGAGCAACTGGCAGAGGAAAAAGGGAATAACTAGAGAAGAGAGAAGAGGAAAACCAGGAGTGTGAGATCATGAAATGCAATGGAAGGGATTTTTTTTTTAAGAATAAGGAAATTATATATATGTGTGTGTGTATGTATACTGGCATAGCCAGGAAGTTTCCAGAAATTAAGATTAGGGCCATTGGCCTTAAGAAATAGTAAAACATTACAAACATTTTGGTACTAGAGAAGGTATAGATCAGTGGAGCTGAAAAGAGTCCAGAAGTTGACATTTCAAGTCCGTGGAGGAAAGTGGAATTGTTCAATAAATGTCATTAGGAAAATGGTGATTTGGGGGAAAAAATAAAGATGCAATTCCCAGTGGATGAATATTTTAAACCTAAAAAACAAAATTCTAAAAGTTCTAGAAAATACCATTAGTTGGCTGGTAGTAAAAATGACCTTTCCAAGCAGGATACAACTGAGAAGCCATAAAGAAAGATAAATTTGATTGTCTAAAAATTAAGAATTTTTGTTCTTTATAAAAACAATAACAACAATAGCACTATAAACTAAATCAAAAATCAATGCCAAACTCATATGTGGAGCATACATGACAGAAAAAAACAATAATTCCCATAAAACTCATACAAATTCAGTGAGAAAAACCTTGAAAAACACAATAGAAAAATAGGTAAAGGTATGAATAAGTAAGGTGTAAAAAGAGATTTTCAAATGTAAATAAACATACAAAAAGCTTAGTCCCCCTTACACATAATTAAACATACATCAGAACAAGACATGATTGTTAACCTATCAGGTTGGAAAAACAACTTTTTAATTTTATTTGAAAAAAATTCAAATTTACAAGAAATTATAAGAAAAAGAAAAAACTTTCATATATCCCTTACCCAGATTACCAGTTGTTAACATTTTGCCACATTCACTTTACCATTCCCTCCTTGTTGTATCAAATCTTTTTCTCTGAACAATTTGAGTATATTGCATACATCATATTCCTGTACTCTTGAACATTTCAGTGTGTATTGTCTAAGAACAAGGACATTTTTTTTACATAGAATTCTCTTACAGCAGTTCATTTATCAAATGCAGGAAATTTAACATTGATAAAAACATTATTTAATCCATAGTCCCCATTCCAGTTTCACCAACTGTTGCAGTATTGTTGTTTTTTTTTAAGATTTTATTTGACAGAGAGAGAGACAGCCAGAGAGGGGATACAAGCAGAGGGAGTGGGAGAGGGAGAAGCAGACTTCCCGCCGAGCAGGGAGCCCAACGCAGGGCTCGATCCCAGGACCCTGGGACCATGACCTGAGCCGAAGGCAGACGCTTAACGACTTGTTCTTTTTAACAGTTTTTTCCCAGTCCATATTCCAGAGCAGATGATTGCACTGCATTTATTTGTCATGTTTGTTGAGTTCTAGATAATCTGTAGTAGTTCCCTCCACATTTAAAAGCATAGGCCACTTGTCTGATGTTTCCTCATGGGTAGATTCAATATACATTTTTTTCCTTTTTTTTTTTATTTTATTATGTTATGTAAATCATACATTACATTATTAGTTGTGGTTTTTTTTAAAGATTTTATTTATTTACTTGACAGAGAGAGACACAGCGAGAGAGGGAACACAAACGGGGAGTGGGAGAGGAAGAAGCAGGCTTCCCACCGAGCAGGGAGCCTGATGCGGGGCTCGATCCCAGAACCCTGGGATCATGACCTGAGCTGAAGGCAGATGCTTAACTGACTGAGCCACCCAGGTGCCCCTACATTATTAGTATTTTGATGTAGTGTTCCACTATTCATTGTTTGCATATAACACCCAGTGTTCCATTCAGTACATGCCCTCTTTAATACCCATCACCAGGCTGGCTCCTCCCCCCACCCCCCTCCCCTCTAGAACCCTCAATTTGTTTCTCAGAGTCCATAGTGTCTCATGGTTCGTCTCCCCCTCTGAATTCCCCCCCTTCATTTTTGACAGGAGTACTAGTAAGTGATATTTTGTCCTCAGTGCATCACAGAAGTACATAGTATCTATTTGTCCCATTACTGATTATGTTAACTTTGATCATTTGGTTAAGTGGAGTCCCCAAAGTTTCCTATTAAGTTATTATTTTTCTTTTTGTAACTAGTAAGAACTTTGACAGAGAGATACTTCAAATCCATGTAAATATCCTATTCCTTATCAAACTTTTACTCACTTTCACTCACATCCATTGATAATTTCTACCCAAATTAGTTATTACTATGATGGTTGTAAAATGGTGATTAAAAAAAAAAAATTCCCACTTTTCTATCAACGTTCTGCTCTAAGGAAGAATATTCCTTGTTCTGAGTGATTGGTTGGCATTATGGATTCATAGACTTTTATTCTAGTTGATGAATTATAGTCCTTTGTTACCATTTATTATTTTGGTGCTTTATAGTCTGATTTATCCTTCCTATGCTTACTTTTGCAAAATTAAGTAGACATATGCATGTGTTTTTATTTCCATTTCTGTCCTACACAAAAGGTAGCATTGTGTATATTCTCTGTTGCACTTTGCCTTCTACTTAATTTATTCTGAAATTCATTCCATATCAGTTCATAGAGATCTTCCTTGTTCTCTCTCCACAGCTGCATTCTTCTAGTGTGTACCACAGTTTGTTCAATCAGTTTCCTATGTTTGAGCATTTAGATAGTGTTCAATGTTTTGCCATTACAAATAATGCTGCAGTGAATAGCCTTGTGTATGAATATTTCA